ATATGAGTTTCCGGAAAAACCGAATTGACATGCAGATGAGTGTATAAGTCAAACACAGTACATTATTTAATTTCACTGAGAATGCAAATACCAAGTGTATACGGGACGGAGAAAAAACATTTTATAGAAGTGAACCACAATTATTTGCCTTTTTTAACTGGACGATTAGTACACCAACTGGGATATTGAGGATTCTTTCTTCAGGATATAGAGAAGTTATTGTGATAAAAATTCAGATCTTATAAAGGGGAAAGAAATATCCAGATAGCCCACTATAACTATTACCATCTTAGGGCTGATCAGGTAGGTACGCCTCCACTTTTTAACCCAGCCTTGAAAGGCAAAGCGAAATACACAGCACTAAACAAAACGAATTATTAAAGGTACTAAAGACATGAAAGCTAAGTGTTGTTGTCCAGAAGGAATATTCAGATAGGTTCTCACTGGTTTTCATTAGTTTTGAGATGCATACGACTGCTCTGGTTCGCAGAGCATTTTTCCTATAATTGGGGGTGATTTCCGAACTTTTATTTCCCGTCTAAAAACTAATATTCTGAGTCTGTCCGTTGTTGATTCCTCAGCATTCAAGTGTATTTTTCAAGGCATATTTCATAAAATTTAGTTTCTCTTAGTTGGGAAATACGAAACACATCGCTTCTATTCCCCCCGGCTCGTTTCCACTTTTTTCCGCACAAAGCGTGATAAGATCAATGTGGTGCCAAACAAACTGTCAGGAGTATCTGCGGCTGATGGAACCACTGGTTCTTTGTCCAATTTTCGTCCCAACTGTGGTAGACTAGAACTCACTCTGCACAAAAGCTTGCTCCACTGTGTGAACTGCGACAGCTGGGGTGATGTTATCGGTCACGAATATCCATAGCTTGAATGCCAGTCACAGAAAACCATCGGACCCTGTTAAAAAGATCAAAATATTCGACCAAAATTTGAATCAGCCTAGATCGGGATGTCCCTGAACACAATAAATGAGCTTGTAATACGTAGTACAACGATGTACCTAAAGAAACAAAATCTTCCTGTCTGTCCATGGGATCTTAGCAGCTGAACATTTTGAACAAAAGCCATATTACAACATGGGTACAAAAGACTAATGGCACCAAGCGCCGGAAACAAAACCGATGCTATGGAAGTAACACACTACTCATAGGGTTGCTGAGAACTCTGCAACAGCTCATGATCGGTTTTGCCCTCCTTGGGGATCATCAGGTAGGTGCAGACCCAAGTTACCGTAAACCCTATTTTCTACTTGAACACAAAATGTGCGAAATTCGACAATTACACTGGTTTGAATACCAGTTTGGTTTTGACATGAAACCCACCCGAATCTCCCATTTGTTACGTTATTACTATTAAAATTACATCCCTTCCTTACACTGGTTGTCGTAATGTCTTTATAATGATTGTTTTTGTTGTGCTGCTTTCCATGTTAGGGTCTGGTTTAACGAAATGGAACCACCGAGCCGTCGTACATGAGGTAACATGGCGCCAAGCATTTCCCCTGCAAATAAGAGGGGAGTTATTGGTCACAATGCTAAGACGTACTGAATCCATAATTGAAGGGAGATAAAGGGAGGTAAAGGGAGATGCGATGTCACGTACACATTAGTTTGGGAAGATCATGACGATCTGCCTGAAACGTGACTCGTTTGAATCAGGTCGATGATCTGCAAGTAGGTCACATAGTTCAGGTTCCACATGTCGCCACTTGTGATTTTTGTTCGTGATTTGCCTCTTGTACCCGAGGAATCCTTGAGACAATCTTGATTTCCAGTAATAGAGAAAACGTGATTCCAAAATTTTCAGTTCCTAACATTCCAATCGCAAACTTCATGCTACCGACGGAAGGAAACTAACACTGCCGACAGCACCACTCATGCGCCTGTTCTTCACACTTTCGATAATATAGACGGTATCCGCACATAAAAAAATATCGGCAATTTAGGATATTCCGATAAAGGTCGAATGATTCACTGAGGTAGATGTTTTGTTTTTTCCTCATCACTTACTGAGTTGACTTTATTAGTGCGTTTTTAGTAGATTGGAAGGGTGCCAAGCGCACAGGTTGTACATCACCATGTGGTATAGCTGACCAGCAAAGCCAAGTCGGATAAAATTCCTTCATGAAAACACACAAAATGGGGCCAGATATTTTCCTACTATTTTAACGTGAATACTCTATGTCAACTGTCGGCAACAAGTGGTTCTGATAGATGAATATGCTTCATGCGTTCTAGTGGATCGCGATTATCGCATTTTGACCACCACCTGTTTCATGTAAAATCCAGACAAACACTTAACACAGTTTCCATGCAAGATGGTACGGAGTGCTATCCATATTTTGGGCTTGCCTTTCTTGTGTTCAAAACCATGCGCTCTGAGCAACCTGACTATCAACGCTTACAATTTGAGAGCCCAGTATTGGTTTGAAACAACATACTGACAGTCCAACATATAAAATCCCAAATGATACAAAGACGTAGCCAAAGAAACTGGACATGATGATATGGTCTCTTTGAATATGCTTTTAAACGATCAAAGCTTTTCGAAAAAATTTGACGCGTTGTAAATCTATTTGCAATCACCACTCTGTTTCACTGCATATTTTCTATCATTTTGCAGTCATGGAGCATTTTGCTTACCGCAGAAAGACTGTCCCACCTCCTGTAGGTAAGTAACTATTTGCCTTACATTCCTATCGTCAGTTGGTTTCTTACAAGTTACGGTCGTTTTCACACAAAAAAGGGTCCACTTCGAATTCCAACAGCAAGCAATTCTTGAAATCCCACGGAGTGGCGGTGGTCTTCACGGTTCTTGTAGATGTTTCTTTCAACAGTGACATTTATGATGGCTTTTTGTCGAGAAGAGGACTGAACAGTTTTTCAGGGACACTGCTATAACCTCTGACAACTTTAAAATCGCAAATGTGATTAATTCAGATATGGGTCTCAATTTGTCGAAATATCACTACGCTTGCTTAGGGTGGTATGCGTCGAAAAGTATTTCTCAATCACTTTTCACTGAAGACAACTGGCGTTTTAGAGGACTACAAGACGAATAAGGGGTAAAAGTATTTCGGAACGTGTAATCTCGTGACGTCTGATTCTGTCCATTATTCCTGAAGCAGATGCTAGTCTAACCAAATGACAGGGTGACCCTGGTGAACTAAGTGCCCTACCCAGTTTTCCGGGGGCAAATAAAAAATGGTTGTCAATTGGAAAAGCGTAGCGTCTCGACCTCAGTGAGACCCATTAGAGGGGTTTAGAGGGCCCGTGACCTTTCATCTGTTAAACTACGGAACGCGCCTCTTCCAGCCGGTCGGTTCAGCCATAACCCTCAGGCACTTTTGGCTGATCCCAATACGGGAAGCCTCATACTTTGGCTGTAAAGCCCGATTGAAATTCTTACCTCACATCTTGATAGTTACCAGGTCCTCGTGAGTACCTATAACCTTTGTGGAAAATGCCAGCCATTCGCTATTGATTGGACCAATCGGAGTAATTAACAGCAGTTTAGGTCAAGGATCGAACCCATTAGTTGAGTTTCGCACATGATTTTCAATTTTTGCGCCAGGTTTTAAACTCGACAAACACGCAATTGACTGACAAATTCACTCGCATTTTCAATATTGCAAAAAAAGTCAATCGCTGTGACCAGCCTTTAAGCTTAGTAGGTTTATTAACAAATTGTTTTAGGTTGTAAAATATTGTAAAGCGCATTATCAGAATGGTTTATTTTTTAGTGTGATTCAGGGTAGTTCTCAAGTGGAAACAAAAAGTTTGAACTCTCTTGAAATTGGGTTCAGTTTGGAGAGGTCAAAAGCTGAGCCGTAGTCAGTTAAGAACCCTCTCTTCGAATACTCACTGCAATTGCCCTTCTTAAAAGACTTCTCCTCAAGAGTGTACACGGTTTTAGAATCGAGGAATTCCTCACTACTTGTAAACGCTTTATTAATGAATTTACAAAATTCGTCTTAAGAGGACTGGAGACATTAGGAAGGATGTGCGCCAGATCGAATGTTTCAAGGGCCCTTCCAAGAGCCGGCTAACGTTGATTGGTAATAAGGTTCACCGACATGATTTATTCCACAGAGTTTTCTGATTATGCTGGTACTGGTAGAACATGAAAGGCTTGACTAGTACCACTCAGGTAAGGAATATCTGAGACCTCCAAATACGGCATTGTAGGTGGATGAACAATCTTCATTTGTAGAAAGTCACACTCAACCAACGTCGGCTAGGTCGCCCTCCAATCCAAAATTTTAGTTAAGACCAGTTAAACTTTGATTCTGAATAATGAGTCGGGTTGTTCTAACAGTTGTCTGAAAAAATCATGCTTGCAGATATTGCGTTACAATGGTACTGAGGCTATTCTCATTTCTCGGTCTACAGATTTGTTCTAGCCAGTGTGTGTGCAGGGATAAGACTGCAGTAGGTAAAACCTCACACCAGCGTTTCACATGACTTAAACATCTGGAACTGGCGACGACTCTGAGACACCACGGACGAGCGCCTCCTCCTGACGATTGTTAGCTACTGAAGAACATCCGATTACTTCGTGATAACTTACTGTCCCCGATGAAGTGTCGATTACAGCGGCCATCATATTTCAAAAGCAAAATGCATCAGCAATCTACTTGATAGTGTACGCTTTCTGCTCGCCATCTGTTGTTTTTGTAAGTTTCGGTACCTTTTCAACCTACAATCGTAATATTTTTGTGCATCTCAATGGACTTCAATTGTCCCTGGTTGTCTGTGGACTCTTGTGAATAAATGCAGAAACGTAGAAATGTTACTGAAAAGTTTATGGGAATGTAAACCGTAGAAATGAAGCAAGGTGGTACCGTGAGTGATGGGCGTGACGCTCCGAAACAGAGTTCCTTTAAACAGCTACCGAAAAGCTTAAAGGTCCTTCTTGTCATGTTGTCCGGCATAAATGATGTCCACCAATGGAATTTGCTCTGAAGACCATGTAAGTGATGGCCTGGTTTCACCGAACAAAAACGTTGTGGTAATTTATAGAACTAGACCCGTAGAAAAGACAGTCATGTTTGACGTGGTTAAGAACTACTACGAAGAAAACTTTTGGAGCGTGTAAATAGAGTTAAATCTGAAGAAAATAACCTTGTGATAACAAAATGACCTAAAAGAGACCATAAGATCTAGTTTAATCTGCTTTGTGGTTGAAATGCATCACTACAAATAAGTATAACGTTTCAAGGTCATCCGCAAATAGATGAGCCTGAAGTTAGGCAGAGGTTCACCATCGGAAAACATCAATGGGCAGATGATTTCCGTTGAATTAGGGTTGCTCATTACGCACTATATGAGTTGGCATGCTTCTGGTACGAACTTAGATTTTAGTGACCGAGGGAACCAAGCAGTTTGTATGATGAGGTGATTGTTCAGCTGTAACACCCTTCTGACTCTTGATTGCAATGGCACCCGAAAAAAGCACGAGGGCTAGGATATCGGCAGGTTGCCCTTGCCTAGACGGGGAAAGTCAAGATGCAGAGGTTGGGCCTTTCAGTCAGTAAATTCTTGCTCTAACTACTTGAACTATCTCTTGAACAGCAACACTTGTCGCAAGATTACGCCACTCATAAATACTGGATGGAAGCGAGCGGCAGATCTGCTCATTCAAACATCCGTTCATTGCCTTTAGTCTATTGTTGATGGGTTGGACAGCCTTATAATCTTTATGCCATAATTTTCATCTGAAAACAGAGGATTTCATGAGATACGATGTCAGTTTTATGTGAAAAACCCTTACGCCACTTTACCAACTAGTCCATCTTTATTGACTGATACAGCTAAGGCCATGTTCTGGCATCATCGGGGTGCATTTTCGTGGGCCTATCAACTATGTTCTTACTTAAATTTGCAACCGTATTGGTCGAATATGACCTTGAAAAAGACGGGTTTTCAGCTAAACAGACGCAATGTAGATATAACATTTCTATTTGTATTGATAGCTTGTAGTTTATATCTGAATGTAATTTGGAACCTCACTGTAGTGAGCATCAAGGGATAAAAAAAGTTGACAGAAAACAAATTGGATGAACTTCAGATAGACTTTCCGGTAGAAATGATCATAAATGTATAAAGGCCATGTATTCTATTGAGAAAAAGGATCCATTTATTTTTGAATGAAGTGGAACCTTCTTTGTCCTGGCTTACTGGACCTTGGTAGCACTTCATGTGGTTGAGGAACGTGGATGATATTTCTTTTTTTTTCACGTTTCAAAAATCATATTAACTGAATACCGACGTTAACTCGGATAGGTGCATTTAAAATGTAAACAGCAGGTGCAGAGCCGTCCGCTTGATCTAAATCGAGCCTGTAGAAAACAGTGCTTTGAATAGTTGGTGACCATTTTATGCAATAAAACTAAGAATGGATATTGCGGAGAAGTTCCGTTTGCTGACGTGTGACCACGGATCTTTAAAACTCATCCAGAAATCGAAACTCCAGTCATTCAACATTTTGACAGATCAGTCTTCTAAGCAATCATATCCAGAAGTAAATACTAGATGAATTTAGGGTTGGAGTGTCTGAAAGAACCGTTGCATATACGATTGAATGCCGACATTACGGTTGCTTCTCGCAGGAGTGGTCAACCTTCAGACAGAAATTTTTTTACTTGGTCTCCCGATGCATATTTAGATTAAAAACTGCCCCACAAAAGACGGAACTTTGCAAAAGGACATGTATTTTTTCGGTACTCCAACTAATCTTCCACCAAGCTCGGCAAGCAGATCAACCTGATCAACAACCAATAGTCTTCCACCTGCTTTCCTCATCCATATGTGAATTCTGGTGCCTAAGATATTCAGTCGTCATAGTTGAATAAGCCAGTTTAGATGTGTCAATTCTTAGCTTTAGTGGTTGGATAATTTTTAAACTTATCTTTTTAGTGGAAATTCCCTACATTGCCAACATATCGTAAAAGTTACCTTGTTTAACTTGTTTCCTGTGTTAGACCGAAGAAGGTTTCACTCGGGTTTTGATGCCGTTAGTGCAACTATTCAGGCTTAATTCTAACATGGCCATGGGTTTCAAATGCAGATACTAGCAAATTGGTCATATAGCCGATGGTCTGAAACAAACCTTTTCCAATGAAAACAGATCATTCTGTTGCGATGTGTCGCTCAAATTGAGTGTCGTTGATGCTTGGCAAGATGCCACTTTATTCGGGTGACGCGCTATACAGGAACCAGCTATGTTTGTGTTGGGCGAGTGGCACATTAGCATTTAGTAGAAAACCAGAATATACCTGCACTTTTCATCATGAAAGCAAACTATGGCAGTTATGGTAAAAGATATTCAGTACATTCTTATTTAAGCGTTATTCCGCATCTTAAGGGTATGCTGACCAGTAAAAGCCAAAGTTTGTCTCCAGCTGAGTCCAGATAAGGTATCTCATTGATAGAAATATCTTGATGCAGTGAGGTGCCGACAGAAGATTAATTCCAGCCTGTACGACTGAATTTATATAAAAAATGATCAAAAGTGGACTTTTACTGGTGGAAAAACACATAGGAGAAAAGATGAATAAAAACTAAATTATTACGAAATTTCCTCGTGAGTCGTCGGACAGCTGTGTATTTACAGACTGGCAGTTTAGAATTCCGGACATACTTTCTCTCATTCTGTTTGTCTCTAGACCC